AAGGCCCCCGGTATCCTGCCCCGCAAGTCTGTCAACCAGCCCGTGCAGACCGGTCTCAAGTCCGTCGACGCCATGGTTCCCATCGGCCGTGGTCAGCGTGAGTTGATCATCGGTGACCGTCAGACTGGAAAGACTGCCGTCGCTCTCGACACCATCCTCAACCAGAAGCGATGGAACGACTCCAACGATGAGACCAAGAAGCTGTACTGTGTCTACGTCGCCATTGGCCAGAAGCGATCCACCGTCGCTCAGCTCGTCAAGACTCTCGAGGAGAATGACGCGATGCGATATAGTTGCGTAATAAGTGCCACGGCCTCTGAGGCTGCTCCTCTCCAATACATTGCGCCCTTTACAGGTATGTTCTTGTCTTGGTTTCCTTCCTGCTTCCTTGCCATGAGTTCCTTCCTGCTTCATCCCCTCATGCCATGAGTTCCTTCCTCTTCGCTTCTTTGCCTCACTTCCTTCCCGCTTCATCTCCATGGCCTGCCTCGCTTCACGGTGCCTCCTTCCCCTCCATGGCTCTCATGGCTCTTCGTGGCTTCCTCCACGATCCATCCTTCCCTCCAGTCCATCAGCAGGAGGGCCCCTTCCGCCATGCATTCGTGGGCCATATCCTGGATTTCTCCCCCGGCCTTGGACTTCAACCTCTTTTTTCCTCTCTTCCCCGAATCTTTTATCGTCCCCCTGCGGCCCAGTCCCTCTACGCCCTCTCTTCGTGGCTCTTCTCCCTTGAGTCCCAGGCCCAGACTCCAGACATTCTTTCACCGGCACATCACATCCACAGTCATGTGTCCCCCAAAGTCGGCGGTCCAGACAACAATGAGCAGCTATATGCTCCCGGTCCCTCGCCCAGTCTCTGGCCCGGCCTCTGGCCCACCCATTCTCTCCGCGGCACGTCCCACAGCGGCAGCCATGTTTCCCCGCGAGTCGGCCCTCCAGGAAATAATTGATGCATACACTCACCAGACCATCACCGCGGGCCTACGTGGAGCCAACGCCGTCTACAAGGCCGTCTTGGGCGACGAGAAGGCGTTTAACCAGATCTGCGCCGAGACGCCCTTGACGTTCGCTCCTGGCCTCCTCAGGGTTCTCCAATCCAGCTCGCCGCCAACCACGGAGTTCTTTCAGTCTCTGCCAGTCACGCCTGTTACAGGCTTCTGGGCCGTGTATGCCCTGCTCCTGGAAAAGCCTGGGGCGCCATCCAGGCTTTACATAGGGTCTGGGACAAACACACAAAGGGGAGTTATTGCACGGTTCTGGAGCTATGACGTGCAGCTCCATGTGCCTACTATGGTGGTGTCCAGCTTGCAAGAAGGCTACACAGTCAGTCGCCGTGGTCTTCTCTGCTGGGCCCCTATCCCCCGCGCGACCATTGTTGCCACAGCCCGCGTTCGCTTCTTGGCTGTTGAGGCCGTCTTTTCCCACGTCTTTTTCGCCGTTAACAACGCCACCAGCCTTGATGCTGCATCGAAGAGCTTCTTGCCCTGGACCAGAGCGTCTGTGGCGTGGGAGCCACTTTGCACCCACACAGCCCTGAAGGAGAAGCCTGTTGGCAATTTCTCCCTGACGGAAGAGGAGGCAGCAGCTATTGACGCCCGGAGGAGGGAACGCACAAGGGAGGTGTCGAGCAAGAATTCAAAAATTTACAGGGCAAGAGGCCTTGCCGAGGACCCCATTGCCTACCGCGCCAAGATCGCCGCAACCAAGCTGGTGTGGGCACAAAACAACAGAGACAAGTACAATGAGCGGGCCGCTGGTGTTCGCGCTCGTGCCATCGCGGCCCGGCGCCATGTGTGCAAGGTCTGCGACTTTGTGGCCGCAAGCGCCCACAACCTCACGAAGCACCTGGCCACGAAAACCCACCAAGAGCAGGTTCGGCTGGCTGCTGGTGGTCGCCCAAAGGCACCCTCAATTGCCGCCCTCAGAAGCCGGCGAAATGCGGCCAAGGCCCTGGCGAGCAAGAGATTCTACTGTGGAGTATGCGACAAGAACTGCAACACGCAAATCCATCTCAACCAGCATAAGGAGTCCAAGGTGCACCTCAAGGCCGTTGCTGCTGCCGAGGCCGCTGTTGCCGCCGAGGCCCTTGCTTCCTCTGAGTCTTGTGGCTTCCCCGAGTCTTGTGACGGCTCTGAGTCTTGTGGCTCCCCCGAGTCTGGTGGCTCCCCTGAGTCTGACGGCTTCCTCGAGGCCTTTGCTTCCCTGGAGTCTCCTGCTTCTGCATACTCTACCACTGGACCATAGAGTCTGCTAATTCCTACACTGGAGGGCCTTGTTGCTGGATCACCCTGTCCTACATCTCCTGGGCCACCCTTTTTACACTTTCCCTGGACTGTGGCGCATATTCTGTTATTTCACTAGCTCATTTCCTTTCCCATCTTTCCATGCCTGATTTTGTCCATCTCTTCCCATGTTGATCATACTAACTATCTACAAGGCACGGCCATTGGTGAGAGCTTTCGCGATACAGGAAAACACGCCCTGATCGTCTACGACGATCTTTC